GGACGAACCAAGCACCCGTGTTCTCCTTACATGGGAAAGGAACGGCACTGAGACATCACACGGCCACCAAAAAAAACAAAAAACACATGCATACGGACACACGCAAGAAGTTTTAGGCGTACCATCTTATCTTGACAACAGGTACTGCCGTACTGGTCAGGGAATTGTAGTCTTTTCGTAAGCATCAGCGCACCGTCAATGATGGCGCTCACGAAAGGTTTCGTCATCATTCCAGCAACAGCAACGACGGCACAACGTTCCTCCACACAACTCTCTGCCCGACATTATTCTTGCCGACGAGCCTTTCTTTTCAGATCGTGGTGGCTAACACAAACCCAAACTCGCTGTATTCTTGCATCCATGGCAAAACAGCCAACGGAGCGTGTCTGCGAAAGCCGTGTCGAAGAAGCCAGGACAGCTTCGTACTATTAGTACAGAACTAGACCGCATTTGTGGGCCACAACAACAAGAGCACCTACTGATACTCGAATGGGGCACAACAGTACATACGTCGCCGGGTGTATTCGAGGTTCCACAAAGGGGCCGGGGACAAGAAACGCAATCGATTTCGGGGTCAAGTTCTGATTTCATCTCCACCGCCGTCGACCACAGTTAGCAGCCCTCATAACATCAATTGTAGGTCTAGAGTTTAGGGTAGGACCCTCGGCTGGGCTAGCTGTGACTCTAACCATTATCATTTTTCGTCAACGGGCAGTTGAGCCTACTCCTTGTAACGGTATCTTGCACATCTGAGGGCCCGCACTGCTGCAGCTCACCCAGTGGGTGGTATGATCATCACGAGGGACACTGCATAGGTGCCTCGCATCGATACAAACCACGGTACATCGCAGTACACGGTCGGGGTTTTGTACAGTGGTGTTATCTCACCTGGTCGGCGTTATGATCATGACGCGTGTAACGGCCACCTTCTTGGGGCGGTAGAGCAGCCTCTCCAGGATGGGGAGGAGGAACGCCGCCGTCTTGCCACTTCCCGTCGTCGCGCTGGCACACACGTCCCTGTCGACCCGCCCAAGTCATTCCACGAGAGAGGACACAGAGAGAGAGAGAGAGAGAGAGAGAGAGAGAGAGAGAGAGAGACAGAGAGAGAGACAGACAGACAGAGAGGGAGAGACAAGAGGCAGAGAGAGAGAGAGACAGAGACAGAGAGAGAGACAGAGAGAAATAGAGAGAGGGAGAGAGAGACAGAGAGAGAAATAGAGAGAGGGAGAGAGAGAGAGAAGAACCGGGCGTAGGAGGGACAACTTTAGAGGCAGGAGTGTGTGCATTCGCCCTATTTGCTCTGGCGCCAGTCTACACACGTTTCAGCCGGAGTCACAGAGGAGGAAGGTTACACGGGAGCCTCTTGTTTTAAACGAACGGAATCCACGGTAGAGTAGTGTTGGTGCTCACCAGAGAGGCGCCAAGGACTGGTGTCATCACACCACTCTCGACCACAACAAGCTATCGGGCTGAATATGCACCAACCTCTCACCGTTGTACCCGTTCCACCTCCTCCAAACCCTTTTATTTCCAAACACGCAAAACAAAAACGTTTGGCCTACTATGCACCAAGCTCACCGGTTTACCCGTTCCACCTCCTCCAAACCCTTTTATTTCCAAACACGCAAAACAAAAACGTTTGGCCTACTATGCACCAAGCTCACCGGTTTACCCGTCCAACCTCCTCCAAACCCTTTTGTTTCCAAACATTCAGAAACAAGTTCCGGGGCTCAGTCTTCACCAACCTCAACCAGGGTACAACCCATCTCCAACCCCAAAAAATCCAAGACACGCCCGTACGTACGTACCTTCCCGCCAAAGCGAATGGCACCGCTCGCTGCTGCACGGACGTCGGGGTGACGTACCCCATGGCCTCCACCGCTCTCAGCAGCGGCCGAGAGATGTTCAGCTGCTGGAACGGCACGCCCCCTGAGGAGGCGTCGTCGCCCCCCGGGGACGCGTCTGCATCGTCCCCGTCCTCGAAGTATTCCGCCGCTTTTTTCGCTTCCAGCTGGTCCTCGTCGAGCTCCTCTTCGCTGGCCTCGTCGCCATCGCTTTCGTCGTTGTCGCTTTGGCCCTTGTCATTGCCAGCGGCGGCTGCTGCCGCGGAAAGACGGTCTTCTTTTCGCTTCGCGGCCTCGAGACGCTTCGGTTCGGGACAACGAAGCGAGAGGGGACCAAGAGCGCAAAATTACAGCAGCGAAGGATCGGAGGATAGCGGCAACAAAAAAGGGGTTCCATTTCAACTATTGGACAGAAAAATATGGGGGGGGGGGGGGGGGTTCGGGTTTGGCAGGTTGAGAACAACCACCGCTCGCAGTAAGTGGCCCCAAACGTTATGTGATCAACACTACAATGGCGGGGGAGATGGCATGTCCTTAACCAGAGTAAGACTGAACCACCCTGCCGCTCGATGATATCCACCACCCCGCAAAAACTAAAAGCGCGGGGGAATTCTTCATTTTTTTCCACAACCCCAAGCCTCACCTTTCCGCGCGACCCGGCCGAAAGCTCGCGCAAGTTATCCTCCTCAAGGCCCTCCTCCTGCTCCTCATCGTCCCCCGACCCGTCATCGTCAGACTCCTCCTCTACACCTTCTCCATCCTTGGAGCCAGCGCCGCCTTCGCCATTCGCCGAAGCAGCCTCGTCTTCCTCCTCGTCCTCGTCCATCTTATCCAGGCCTGATGAAGCCGTCGCCTCTCCTTCACCTCCAGCCACGTCTTGCTCTTGCGACTCGGCAGCAGCGGCGGCCTTAATAGCCTTAGCGTTATCTTTGGCCTTCTTCTTGCCCTTACGCAGCTCCGACCTCTTTGCGGCAATCCGGTCTTCGAGGACCCGTCCCGTCCTCGCTCGCCTCGGGTCTTCCATCGCAAGCTTCTCGATAGCGCCTGGCTTGGCGGACAGACATAAAACGACATTTCGGAACCCGAAGTGTGTTTGTCGGAGGAAGCATCAACGGCCCTGCCTGCCCCGAAGTGTGTTAGAGTAAGCACCAATAGTCCTGCCTGCCCCAATCATACAAGTCAGAAGAAGGTAAGTCTGACTCGGCGGACAGGCCGAAAAGGCCGGCGTCGACTTCGGATGCTAAGTGGGTTGGCGGAAGCATCACTAACAACGCTGCCTACCCCACTGATACGATTCAGAGACCATAGGGTATGGAGCAAGAGCTTACCCACGTGCAAGATTCTCTTGCTTGGCGCGTTCCTGGGGTTCTTAGTTCCTCTGTGGGTTATCGCAACATGGCCATGGTTCAGCTTTTAGCATGATGTCGGGTTCAGGTTCTCATTTCTCTCATGTTTCGACCATTTTGAAGTTTCCTGTTCTTGACTGCCATGTCTCCAAGGGAGCGGTGGAAATGGGCAGGTCTTTTCTTCGGCGAACCAGGAAATGCCTGTGGACTATACATGTATCGTGGTTTCCAAAAGTCTATCTCAAGTCGGATTCGCGTCAGAAGAGTCCGCACACGATTCGGACTGGACCGGAGCTTCCCTTAAGAAAACCAACATAAACATGCAGGCGCTTGCTAAATACTTGTAGTTCTCCGAAGAGGAGATTTGCCCAACTCCACCACGGGCGCTTACAAATGCTGCTGTACATATAGACTCTGGCAGCGGGGCGGAGGCTGTATGTTACAGTATCATGTACCCAGAGTCATGTTGGCCCCGGCACCGTACAGGTCGTTTGGACCATTTGGCAAGACAAGCCTTGGTTCTGTCAACATATGGCAGGCGTGACACTGCCCCGCTGCACGACCGACTCGATCACGCAGCCGTGACACTATTCTTATTTTCCCGGCCTTGGAGACAGCAGTGTGCGAAGAAACTCTGGGTTGCGACAAAGTGGTGTCCAAAAAAGTGTGTTCCTCTTCATGCCCCGACGAGGTGCTCGCCTGCAGGTGTTGAGAAAAACGAGCCATGGATCTCTTCACGAGAAGCAATGTTGCACAGCAGGAGTTTGGATCGAAAAGACAGGAGCCTTCCAGTCGTTCGCAACTCATATATGCAAATAGTCTACTGTACGTATTGGACAACAACAACTGGAGGTAACTCGATATTCCTGTTGCAGCTGCCCTCCAGGTTGGGCCGTGAAAATCGGGAGCAGTGAAAGAACGGAGCGCGAAAATGTAAGGCCAACAGCGCAACAGAGTACCGTCATCTCTCATGCTGGGACAGCAGCAGAGGCAACACAAGACCTCTTCTACCTGGCGACTACGAAAGCACCACCGACAGTAGCACTACAGCACTACAAGCACTGCTATTATGAAGCGAAGTACTACTGCTGTTCTCACTCTTGAAGTCCCAGCCTTTGACGGCCTGCCTCTCAGCAATGCCGAGGTTGCCGCTGTCGACATCAAACGAGAAGCTCGGGTCCACCGCGCCTTCGCCCTCCTTCCGTCCCGCCCCGGCCGCAGCCGCCGCCTTCTGCCGCTGCCGCTTCCTCCCTGCCTTGGTCAGAGGAGCGGCGGCGGGCTTCGCGACTGCTACCGGGGCCTCGCTCTCATTGTCATCGTCGGTGTCTGCCTCTGGCTCGACCTCATCATCTGAGGCAATGGTCATCACCAATCCACTACTAGGCTTCTTCATGGCGCTAGAACCCCGGCAAGCAGCAACCCTGATGGCTCGTGTGCAGTGCAGCAGTGGGAATCACACGTGTGAGTGGCGAAGGTCTTTGGTTTTTGCTAGGAGAGAGAGTGGTGGGTTTCGCGTGGGTTTCGCGTGGGTGGTGCTCAGGGCTCGGCTAGCCCGGGACTGTCAGATTATTGACTTGGAGAGGGGGGGGGGGGGGGGCGCTCAAGTGCTCACGTCGGCCAAGGCATGAAGCTGTGAGCGCCCACAAACCAGCTCACGACGCCAGCTGTGTGTCTACAATCCCTGTGCCTATACGCCGCTCTGCAGATACCCGACGGAAGCTCGCCAATCGCGAAGCGAGGGGGCTAGCTGGCTAGGTGGAGCGGGGGGCGTCGTAGCCTGTAGTTTTCAACGTCAAGCCAATCTACGGCCATGGGAGAGCTTGGAGGCAGCAGCAGCGGGCAGCTGTGCATCTTCGACCCGGCCTCCGGCGAGCTGTATGCTTCCGTGTCCTCAGACAACCGCCTCAGGATATGGAACACGGTGCGTCGCTGCTGCTGCCTAAGACCCACCGGCTTGGCTTATGGCTAGACCACACAATTCACGACCCAAACCAAACCTGACAGTCCTGTGCGGTAAAATCGAGGTGTTAGTGAAGGGGGGGAGATGTTGGAGAGTAGCAAGTGCACCAACGTGGACTGCACGGCAATGACCCATGGTCCCGTGCATGGACTGCCCGTAATTGGAACTCTTCTTGCTTTTTTGTCACGCTCATACCACCTGTGCGGCTATCTCCGTGTGCTCCCTCCACTCTGGCGCCATTCGTTACTGCTGCTGTGCACGTACTGTAGGCGTCGGGGGATCTGAGGCAGCAGTATGTGGAGCCTCGACATCTCGCCAAGCAGTACACCTGCATCGCATGGCACCGGCGATCTTCGAAGGTGAGCAGAAATGCTGCAACGATCGAAGCGAGTCAACGCCGGAGGATTTTATGCCAGCAGTCCTTGTAGTACTCACTGCTACTGGCCGACAGTACTACCAGAAACATGTCACTCCCAACCCAACCAACACCCACCCGAATTGTGCCTGTCATGTGGGCACGTACATGTACTGGTTTTGCTGTGAGCCAACCGACAATCGGATTGGCCGGTGGTTTGCTGGTGCACGTTCGGCGACAGGAGGCGATGTACCACTTATGTAGTGTCAGCACACAAAGGGTCGGCACGGTGCCTAACGTGAGCTGTCGTCATGGCCGCTACGGTTTAGCATCGAACAGCGCAATGGCCGAGGGCGACGTATGTGCCTTGATAGGAGCTCTATGCATATGGTGCCGCACAACAGGACGCGGGCTCCACGCGCCAACGCCTTACGAGCTCGGTAGTAGTAGCATCGAATCGCACACGATCCCCCTTAGTTAGCGACACCCAATCGTGCCCGTGCTCCTTCCTCTCCCCGTCTGCACGCAGAAGTCTAAGCGGGGTAGCTCCGGGGCGTCGAAGCCTTCTTCTTCCCTTGGGATGATCGCGCTCGGAACGGACAAGGGGAGCGTGTCCGTGTGGGACCTAAAGCGTGGCGCTCTCGCGTACTCCCTGGGAGAGGTGAGCGCTTCTTGATGCGATGGTGTTTGTCGTGACCGTTGACTCTTGCGTTTGATTAAGGATGTAATCGGCAGGTAGCACTGCTGTACATTATACGACACGAGATAACCCCCCCCACCCACAATACCACTTCCTGTGTTGAACACTTTTCCGGTTCGACATGAGCCCAAACTTCCAAACCACTCTAAGTTCACCGAATAGGGCGCCATCAGATACACCCCCCCACGACATCACACCTGGTGATGTTCGAAAAGCCAAAATGTTTCAACGAGCTGTCTTTTATTGTTTCGTACCGTGGTATACTGCTGTACGGCACTCCCAAGACTCTTGTCTCGGCATATAATTGAGAACCACAACGTGTGCCCGAAACTATTCGCTGCCTGAAGTCACGACTCAGGAAGAATTTTCCCTTCCGCCTCTGGAGAAAATCGCACTTTTCTTACATATCAAAGCAACAGCAGCAGTCAATAGCAATGGCAACGGCACATTGTTCGGCCAAGAACTTGAGATGGTTCGAAAGTTCGACATCGGCACCCACGGCGCAATCGCCGCCCCATGTTATGCCTCGCTACGCGCGTGTGGCGCTCTCGGGACAACCAGCAGCAACCTACCGTTCTGCTCCTTGGTTGCGCCACCTTGCCAAACGCCTCCAGCACCCTTAATATCCCGCAATGCTGTCTGCGTGCCCCCCCCCCCCCCCCCGCGCGCATGGTCAAGGGAGAGGGTTTCCCTTCGGTAACGTCGGGGGGGTTTTCCGCGGACGGCAGCAGCCTGTTCTCCGCCTCCAGCGGAAAGGAGGTGGTGGAGTGGAACGTGGAGACGGGGACTGTGGCGCGAAAGCTCAAGTGAGAAAAAAAAAGTTGTTCGATCTAACCCTGAGGCAGCAAGATGTGGAATGTCATTCCTAGCGAAACGCCGGACACAGCAGCTATGGGAACTGAACTGGGTACAGAAAAAAAAATGTTGGGAATGTTCTAACAGGTAGATGCTTTGTGGCGGCACAACATTAGGGAGTGTGGTGGGTTTTGAGAAACCGGGAACATGGAAGGAAATCGTCAGCGCGAAGATCACTGTGGCAGACGCGATAAGGATCCATGTCCTTTAGGGCCTTGACCTAGAGTTTGGCATTCCGGTGCCTTGTGAGGAAGGGAAGGAGGATACAACTTATTTGATCTCGCTAGATACGTTGCTCGTAGGCTCCCTCTGCTGATAGATTGAAGAATGAAGGATGGCGCGCTCTGAAACACCACGACCCCTCCGCATGGTTAGCGTTGCGTACCAATCTTGTGTGTTGCGCACGTTGGTGGTGTTGCTAACCACCAAAGCTGGCGTCTTGTTCAGCCATAATGGGGATCTTCTTTAGTGCTGCACGTATCTCCGACTACGCACTCCCCATCTGACCCCCCGCTCACGTCCTTTACTTCGTTTTCATAACCAGGGGGTTCAAGCATGGCGCGACGAAAATCTGCCTTCATCCCGCCGGCAAGATCCTCGCCATTGCTAGGTTAGACCAAACACTTGCACCCTGCTGTTGTGCTGTGGTTGCTGATAGTCCTTCATCATCGTTGGGCGATTGCAGTAATGATGATGGTGGTGGTGGTGGTGGCGCAGTTGGTCGGTACTGTGCTTTTCCTGTTATTTGGCATGGGTAACGTGAACGATAGCTCATAGAGGGATATGATATCGCGTATTTAGTCGTCGTTTCTCACCGGCTTGGCTTGATATCCTCGGTTGTCGACGAAGGTCTCAAAATGTTCCCAGCACTTCGACCCAGCAAGATCAACAAACATTCCCCCCCCTCCCGCCCCGCCAATGCTTCCGTCCTCTCGAGGACGCGTGGTCAATGGTCTAACAGCTCAAAGGCATGCGAAACATGAGTACCCCCCCGCCCCCCCCCCGCCGCGCTTCTTTTCTCGCTACACGGAACCCTAGCTCGGCCATTCGACTGCTAGACCTGACCACCGGCAAGACCGCCCGCAAGCTCTCGGCGGGCCACGCCGGTTCTGTCCGCCTGCTGTCCTTCTCAGCCGATGGCCGCTACCTAGCGTCTTCCGCATCCTCAGCAAGGTAAAGAGCCAACGAACACAGCAGACCAGCAGATATAGGGAGATGTCTGTTTTGGTGATGGGTGTTGGGGTGTCCGAACCTGCTGGCTTGGCGCAGCGGTTGTTCGTTTTTGTTTGCACCGCAGCGGCGGTGACTCGAGCCTTAACCTTGTCGTAGTCTTGCTTGGCACACCGGACGCGCCTGGATGGTGTTAGAGTGCGGCCTTGGTGCTTGTGAGCTGGCCGTGTCGAAAATGCCCCCTGTTCGCGCCAAGGTTATTGTTCTTCTTGTCGTTTTTTGACAATTCAACTGTTCCGATCTCTGCTCAGTAACCTCAAACATCGGTACCGGCACTCCAACTGACACGGACGGACGCCTCCCGTCATCACAGGCCAAATACCCGAAAGAGGGTGCAGAGGGGGGCCCTGTTTAGTGCAGGCTGAATTGTGCCAATGCCCGGTACTTTAGTGCCATACGGTGTTTTCGGCAGGCACACACTAAATTTCCAAGTCATCGTCAGTACTGTGAATAGCGGCGGTCCGGTATAAAGTGCCGGTGAATTTTCTGGGCACATGTTCAGGTCCCCCCTCTGTATGTACACATTTGAGAAACCAAGATTCCCAGGAAAAGATGAAAGATCACCTCAAACGCGATCATTAGAACCCAGGAGAAATAACAAACTACTACTTACCATATGCATACTGCTGTGTGTACATTTTTCCCTCGCCAGGTTCGCCAATGTTTTCGACGTGGCGGCGAGCGAGGTCCCTCCCTCCGAGCCCGTGTGCACGCTGGGTTTCGCCGCTACGCCGGCATTTTTGTCCCTTCACGCCGCTTCTTCCTCCGGAGGAGGGGGAGATGTTTCGACCGACCAGGTTACCGTTGTGGCGGGTTTCGACACCGGAGGCGTGTCGGTGATGAGGACCCGCCGCCAGACCGATGGGAAAGGTGTGTGTGTTTCTCCGAGAGTGCTTGCGGACCCTCCATGTTTCTAGCGCAGATGTCTATTGTTCGGTTCCGCATTGTGGCAAAGGTTTGATGTTGGATTCTCGTCGTTGTCAGGCCGCTGCCGATCGCTGCGTGAAGCGGGCATTTTTCCCCCGTGTCTGTATTTGTTTTTTTTTCTTCATTGCTGCCTGTCGAGCCGAAGAATCTCCGAGCCGGGGGACCCCACACAAGGAAAGTTCGCCTCCGGACAGCAACCAATGCCGCTCAGAACCTGAGTAAAGTTGGCAACGTGACAGTTTTGTGGTCCGCTGTTCAGCGGACCATCTACACAAATTCCCCTCAGCCCCGATGCCCGCCCCGGACCCCGACCGCTTGTGGCGTTGGGACAAGATGGAGATGATGGATGACTCTTTCTTTAGTCTTGAGACCGTCGTCGTCTTCTTCGACGCATCTCTTTGGGCTGCTACTAGACCGTGCGCGACGTACCACGTGTTCTTGAAGTGCGCAGTACTTTTTCACGCCCTCTTCTCAACGGTCTTCGCTTTCACCCGTCCGCATAATTTCTGTTCCGGAAATAAAACCAAACGGTCGTACGATGGCCTTGCTTTCAATTTTCAACGTAATAGGGGGTGCGGTGTCCAAGCTGGACATCCGCGGGGCCGCCGGGGGGCCCTCCTCCTCCCCCGCTGCCCTGCACGGCCGCCTGAGCAGCGAGCGCCCCTCCTCTGCGATCCTATTGGCCACGGGTTCCGCCGCATCCCCTGGCTTCGTGGAGGCGTCTTTCGAAGACGAAGCCGGTTCGTTGCTGTCGTCCTCGTCCGTCGCCACCGCCGGGGGGCACGCAGACGGGGAGGAGGACGAGGAGGGGACGGGAGACAAGGGGGGCCCCGCGCACGTTGTTGGTCCCGGGGAGCTCGGCATCCGAGGGGTTGAGAAGGACTCCGTGGCAGGGGAGGGGGCGCGTGGTGACGAGATGGAGGACGGGGGGGGGGGCGAGGGTGGTGACAGCAGGTGAGATGGGAATGTTTCTGTTGGGGCAAAGGTAATGCCTGTTGTTGTTGATGTTGTTGTTGTTGTTGCTTCCCACGGTTTGGTTGTCGCGCCTAGTCTCTGCTGTGTTGTCTCGTGAAGGGTTGCTACTTTTGCCTATGGTCAGGGTGGTTTCCATCCAGTAGGTGTCAGAACACGGCGGCCACAATGAAGGCGGGAATATCGTCCATGCCAGATATTCGCCTGAAGAAGGTTGGTCATGCGTCTCTGGATGTGCTCGTCGACGCTGCAAGTTTCGATCAGGATCAGATCATTGGGGAGTGCCTGCTGTTTCTCGTGCCAAGTCTCAGTGGTACACGTCGCAGCTGATACTGATCTGAAACTTGATTGTAGCATCCAGAGCAGAAGTTGCGTCTCACGTTGTTTTTCGCGATATCATCGATACCTTTTTTCCGGAGATGCCGTGTCCGTAGTTGTATGGACGCCTCCGCAGTTTTTTCGGGGTTTTGTTTGATATTGTCACGCTTCCCAGCGTAATACGCCAAGCTCTTTCGTGCTTCAACCGAAAGGTGTGTAGACCGCCGCCAGCATAGACACACTCAACTCCACACCCCCAACCACTTTATCGCTGGCTCCTGTGCCACTGTTTTCCGAGGAAACACACGGACTGCGTGGCGCTATACATCCCCAACCGTTTTGACCACAAGACTGTGCGTCGTGTGCAGCGACGCGGCGACACTTGTCTGCAGCTTGTGTTGTTGCTGCATGCTGAAACGGCCTCCTTTCTCTCTCTCTTTTGGCCCTGTTCTCGTACGTGCGTTGCCACCGATCATTACGGTCGACTGTCCAGGGCGCCCAAGCGATTGAAGGCCGGGGGCGGGGAGGAGGAGGCCGGCATGACCATCGCGGATAGGCTCGAGGCTCTCTCTGCCGCCGTGGACCACGAAGCGGAGAGGGCTTGGGCGGATAAGGGGGGTCGCGTGGCTTTGGCTGGGGCGGGGGGGGGGGAGGGGGGCGCCGTGCATGCCGTAGTCGTTTGACCATTGACC